TCTTCCTAACTGTGCCCCTCCCCCATCCTTATCCTTATCATCTTTTTTCTGAGTTCTTAAATGGTCATTGCAATTCTAATAGAAGTACATACAGCACCCCACGCTTTTTTAAAATCTTGCAAATTCTGAGGCTATTGTATGCCAAAGCATGAGATTTGGCACATAACCAAAATTTAACAGCAGAACTAAATCATCCTAGTTTGATCCCCACCACACCCCTAAACATGTGGATCAAAGATACTAAATTCAGGACCGAGGAAGGCTATTTGAACTAAAGAGAAGGAATGAAAAGTTTCTGGGAGTGGGAAGAGAGAGTTGGAGATTGGAGAGAAGAAACATTACTATAACTGCAATCTGAAAGCTGGGACAGATATTTAAAGAACTCATAAAAGATGGATACAAATGCAGAACTAATTTTGTCAATAAACTAATCTGGACTATGGAAGATTCCCAAAGTGAGGCACTGAAGAAAATATGACTAGAGGGGTGAGAGAAGTTATATATTAGTTCTACCACATACTGTATTCGTTTGGGAGAGAGGATGGGGAATTGCAGTTAGCGGAACTTAGATCTATTCCTGGCTCTACCATTGACTGGGGTGGTTGAACCAGTTCAGGGCATCAGCATCCCCAGTTGTAAGATAATGTGAATAATAATGCCAGTTCTTTGTGAAGTGTTTTGAGATTCTTGGGTAGAAGTAGTATCTAAGTATAAAGTGTGATTGTGTTCTATACATTCAAGCATTTTTGCTTTAGCAATACTTAATCACAAAACTGCATTCACTTTTAAAAATGGAAAAACTGTATATGCACCATGGTTTTGTTTTTCTCCATACACATATATGGGGAAAAATGTGTGGGCCTGCCTATGCCAGGCTGTCGTCTATAATATCTGCAAATTTGAAGTGATTTCTTCCTTTCCAGGATGAAATCGTGTTTTGGTTTGTGAACCTTTGGAACAGAATGGCAGATTACGGCACTTCTGTCTGTCTGGCAGGGGGAGTTCTTATGTCTAGACTGCAAGCCTCTTTCGAAAAAGGCTTTTTCGAAAATATCTTTCGAAAAAGCCTCTTTCGAAAAAGACTGCAAGCAGTACTTTCGAAAAAAAGCAAACCGCTTTTTCGAAAGAAAGCAGCGAGTGAGTCTGGATGCTCTCTTTCTAAAAAGCCCTGTTGGCATTCAAGAACGTCTTTTTTCAAAAGAGCACTTTCCAAAAAAAGCGTTCTTCCTCGTGAAATGAGGTTTATCGCCGTCAAAAGAAAAGCTGCATTCTTTCGATTTAATTTCGAAAACGCGGCTGCAGTCTAGACGCAGGTGAAGTTTTTTCAAAAAAAAGGCTACTTTTTTCGAAAAAACCCCTGAGTCTGGACACAGCCTGAAAGAGCACGTTGTGTGGGATGTGGTTTTTTTTTTAATTTGGTGAATCTTGATACTTTTCAACATGATTTATACCTATTTTGAACTTCCAAGAATTTTGTTTTAGAAAAATGGGTATTACCAAAATCAACCCTATGTCATTATTCAGGTTTTGGCAGTGAGTGACAGTTGTCTTAATGTAACAGCATATACCTTAGGCTGAATTCATTGGGTATATGAAGCCTCAAATTTGAACACTAGAGTTACCACAGGTTGTGATTTAAAAATGTCAGCATATCTTTTGAACTTCCAAGAATTTTGTTTTAGAAAAATGGGTATTACCAAAATCAACCCTATGTCATTATTCAGGTTTTGGCAGTGAGTGACAGTTGTCTTAATGTAACAGCATATACCTTAGGCTGAATTCATTGGGTATATGAAGCCTCAAATTTGAACACTAGAGTTACCACAGGTTGTGATTTAAAAATGTCAGCATATCTTATGCTCATCTTAGCTTGCATAGCAATGGTAGGGATATGATGAGACAGAGATATGATGTGAGCGATAGGGTTGACAGATGGTTTCAGAAAAAATACCGAACAACAACAAAAAAAGACCCCGAGAGTTGTTAAGCAAAACAAACAACGTGGCCCCTTTAAAAATCACATGGTGAGGCTTTTTCGCCCTAAAAGGCTGCCAGCAGCCGCCCGCCATCTTGCCTCCCTGCTCTGGTCCAGACAGCTCCCCTGTGAAACCCGGTAAGCACTAGGGTTGCCAAGCTGCCTCCGTATTGAGCCAGACAGCCTGGGATTTTTGCCTCCTGGGTGGAAAAAAATCAGAACATACCGGACATTTTAGGTATCTGGTATTTTCTGAATTTTGTACCAGACAGGAGGCAAAAATACTGGACTGTCTGGTTCAATACCGGACACCTGGCAACCCTAGGGTGATTTTACACTAGGTTTTTCTTTAGCCAGTGTCATCATCCCTTCATTACCAATCAATATTCATGCTATTTGTTTAAAAAGCAAGGATTTTTCTTATATTTAAAATAAAATTTCCTGCAGGATGACTGTGATGCCATCTGCATCCTCGTGCTGCCTCCCGCTTCCACTTCTGCCTCCATCCTCAGCCGCTTGCTGTGGCCATCCTTGGTGCCAACCCCTCCAGGCAGGGTCGGATTAAGGCATGGGCACCTGCCCAGGGCACCAACCCGGGGCGCAATTAAACTGTCTGCCCAGGGCGCCGGAATGGCTCGGTCCAGCCCTGCCTCCAGGCATGGGCTGTTCCAGCTCCTACTTTCTGCCCCAGGAGGCTACGCCGCCAGGAAGGAGCTGCTGGGGCTGGATCCCCTCTGGCATCTGTACCCCCCCATGCCTTTTGGGCTGTGCCAAGTCCCCTCCACCATCTACACCTAACCCCCCCCAAAAAAACTCGCTTATCCCTTCTGCCGATACCCTGCACCCCCAGCCCATTTCTTCCCCCTTCCTCCCCTCTCTCCTCCACTTCTTTTCCCCCCTCCCCGCCCCTTCCCCCCGGCCAGACATCTACCTCCAGCTTGCTCTTGCCCCCTCCCTCTGGCCAGACACCTGCCCCCAGCCCGATCTGCCCCCTTCCCCTGGCCAGACACCTATCCCTGGGTTGAAGGGGGTTGGCGAGCATAGTGAGCAGGGGGCACAGCCACCTAGTATTCATTTAATATTACTAATGTCTACTAGGGACTATAACAAGAATTTAAGGATCAAACTTAGTGCTGAAAATAAATTACAGACTAAAACCACAAGATGGAGCCAGAATAATGCTGTATATATCTTTCTAGAGGTATGCTTCATTGATGAAACATTTTACTAATGTCTTTTTCTCTTGCACCCTTAAAAGGGACAAAGGTTTTGTGCTGATCACCTGTTTCTCCCTATTTATTAGGTCACACTCCCAAAGTACAGGCTTACAGCAGCATCAACAATGAAAAGAAGAGGAAATATCATCTTACATTGGGAAAATCCACCTGTATATAAATCTCAGAATCCCATAAATGAAAACCTCTCAGGTAATCAGATCACCAAGCTACTATCCAGTGATGCTTCTTCCATAGTCTAGTATGTTTCACTGGGCTCAAATCTGCTGCCATGTTAAAAGCAGGCTGGGTGGTCAAACTAGGAAGCAAAAGGGGAACAGGAGGAGAGAAGAGAAGATCTGATCACTAGGAAGGTTTAGTTAGTCTATGAGAATCAGGTTGATCAGTATAAATGAGAGAATAGTAAAGAATTTGGTAACAGTCTCAGAGAACAAGAGTCAACAGAAAGTATTGCCAGTATAAAAGAGGAAAATTTCTGCCCTGGAACAGAGAGTTGCTATGGCCCTTCAGATAAAAGTGTAATTGAAAACACCTGCCACTTGTGGACTGCCTGGGTATCAAATCACATTTTTACCAGTGTCTAGACTGCTACAGAGTGCTTATGTGTATGTTCCTGTTGTGCTTTTCCACCTAGCTGTTGGCTTAAGTTATACTTAGAGTACTTGCACAAATATGTATTTCTGCCTGTTTCTGCTAAAAGGAGGACCAAGAACAGGGAACTGACAAAGCATTCCACATCTTGCTAGTACCTTCCCTGGCTTGTCACACCTGGAGAAGGAGAGGAGGATATTCATTACTATTATTATTTTAACAAGATTGGTATGACAAAATCCTAGCATAGACAGGCCCATGTTTTATCTTGATGGGTTTACCTTGACCAGCTAGCATCAAATTAAAAATACAATGTGCCTTGTCTGCACTAGGTAATACATTGTAAAATCCTATCTAGTGTTCACTATCTCTGCAAAAAATCTTTTTCCTAGTATGGAAGTTATCTACAGCTTTACTAAGGAAACTCTTGCATAAGCTAACTGCATGAAGTAAATAAACTACCTTCCTGGTAAGAAATCCACATGGCCTCTTGGTCCTTCACAGCGGGTCATCACCCATCGATTGATTTTAAAAAGCCAAGTTGCTTTTTGATGCCTAAAGACGGTGGATGATCTTTTGACTGGCATAGGCTTGTCTATATCAGTTCAGTAAGACAGTCGCTTTTTCATGGCCAGCCAAATAGTAGCTAGAGGTGCAGTTTTTATTTTCCCATTATCGAATTCTCAGAAGCAGTCACCAGCATAAAAGTATTGGTGAATTTAGGAACAGACTACTTCTTGTACACTTCAGGAATGTTAATGTGTACTTGTGTACAAGGTTAACAGATAAGCCTTGGCCTATTGCTTATCCACATAGTTATATGTAGCAACTCTCCCTCTGCTGTCTCTGTATTGGAGGCAGCAGGTGGGGGGGAGGGGGGAGAAAGCAGGAGCCAGTGCTCATGGGGAGGTGTCTTAAAAGCCAGCTGCACACAAGCACTGACTCCCACAGAGCTTCCCCCCCATAGGAATGAGTGCAGGCAGAAGCCAGTAAACACTGGGAACCAGCTTTTAAGCCAGCTCCCTTCATGTACCAGCTCTTGTGGAGCTGCCTGCCCCCTACTCTGCTGCCTCTATATTGGAGGCAGCAGTTAAGGGGTGAGGGAAGCAGGCAGAAGTTGGTGCTGGTGGGCAGCATCTCCCAGCTGCCCTCCTGCATAAAAAAACATAACCACTGAAGTTTTCAGTGTTACACATTTACAAAAATAAACATCTGTTAACATCCCTAGTACTTTCTTTGCTCAGTTGGGAATGTATTCATTCCCTTTTAGCATGTATTCTTATTGCATAACTGATACCACTCCTAGGGAAAAAACTACCTACACAGCTTCTCTAAGGGTTCCTTTATCTTTCCAACACTATTTGTTCCTAATATTATTCAAGTAGAAACTATGGAAATAACATTTTATTTAAAATAATTGCCCATGGGGTAGGGAGACTAAAGGAAAATTAATGTATTTAAACGCTAGTGTCGTTCCCAATCTAACTTTTAATTTTTATGCAGCTGAAGAGAGCCTCAGTAGAAACACGATGTCAGTAGAGACAGTATCACAATTCTTTACAAAACTAGCCTGGCTTCTCTGACTTATGAGAAGTGCTTGACCCAGGGAGAGGCAACTTAGTCCCTCCAAGATTTAATTTTCATCTCTATGAACTTCTCCTACATCTTTCTTTCTCATCTCTAGTCCTTTAACTCTTTCTCATGTCTCCAGTCCTTTATCTTTGAAGGTCTATGTGCTGACACATGAAGGCAGGGAGATGAAGATATTCAACTCTTAAGACTATGAGTCTCACATAAAGCACCTCCCCTCCTTCCTCCTGGTAGCACAAAGTTCGTGGAAAGGGTACAAGTTTTTTGTTCAAGGATTTAAAATGACCAAGAAACATCCCCCTCCTTCCTGAATAACTATTGTATGTACAAAGCTTGACTCCCCTGCCTTATCCTATTATTATATATACCAGATACCTACTTGTGTACATGTCCTTAAAGCATGTTTATACAAGAAACATGTAAATAGAAAATTAATGCCAGTTTTGTTCATGTCTCTCAAGCTACAGGCCTAAGTCTTTTAGCAAGCAGTGGCAGGCTAAAAATAGCCAGAGTCTACCTATAGCTAGAGAAAGAGAAGTCCCTATATAGTAAATCGCAGTGTCTTTGTTTAGTCGAGGGGGGGGGGGGGGAGTTCTATTCATTGATTTTTTTTTCCTTTTGAATAAAGTGCTTGGGTTTTGCTTTATTATTACTAATTATACCATTACTTTTAATGGAGTGCATGCTATAATCTGCTAATGTGCCTCAAATATCAAGGTCCTGTTAAGGCCCAATTAGTGTGCATATATTGGTTGTTTTAGTTAATTGCATGTTGTCACTTATTTGATCACTACATTGAGGTTCAAATAGTCTTCTGAAATCACTCTCTTTCAGGGAATAATTGGAAAACTTGTGAGATTTTTGTCCATTCTTGACATGATGTAGCTAGTTTTGATCCTGGCAGTCTGGATACAAAGGCTGGGTTTACCTTATAGGGTTATCTTGCAGAGAAAATCTCCTTCTACATTCTGAAGCTACATAGCCCTGGGCTCCAGAACAGCTCTGTGCTACCAACCCATAAATCTGGTTTGGACTCTTAAAGCAGCACTTCAGCTGGGAACAACATCCTCAGGTTCTGCATGAAGTCAGCTATTCCACCAGGAATGAGGGCACACAAAAGGGAAGTTACTCAACTTGTGCAATATCGATGGTTCTTCAAGTTGTTTGTCCTCATAGGTGCTCCACTGTTGGTGTTAGGCTTATCCCAGTGCCATAGACCAGAGATTTTTCAAGCAGTATCTGGTCAGGCCATGCATGCACAGCAG